AATACTTCTGTTAGTCTTAAAGGTGCCACAGGACCCTCTGTTGCTTTCTACAGATTCAGACTAACACGGCTACCCCTCTGATACATAAGGATATTATGTCAACAATTACATTTATTCACCAAACTTGTAATCTCATAAAAATGGTATCAGATTCATTTGAAAATACCTATTTTCCATAAAACAAATTGTACTGTGCTGTGCTGTCTACATATATGCAGTCCAAAGATTATGAGATTTCCTTTTTGGTGAAAATATTTTCTTTTCTTTGCAGGTGTTCCTTCTCCAGCACCTGTGGTTGAAGCCACTCCCATTCCTCTAACATCAGAGGAACTAAAGAAACAAGAATTAAAGCTTAAAATGAAACAGGAATATTTTAGTGCCCTTGAATATGAAGGTATGTAACTAGTTCAGTGGGCTACATTGTGGAAGTTGATCATCATTTCCAATTTAGATTTTTTTTTAATACTTGAAACTGTCTGCAAAGTTTTGTTGAAAGTTTGCTGAGTAAATGGGAGGTGTGGAGACGGGGCCGGCTCTAGGCACCAGCAAAACAAGCTGGTGCTTGGGGCGGCACATTTTTAGGGGTGGCATGGCCGGCGCCAAAATGCCGCCCCTAAAAATGTGCCCCGGCCGCCCTAGCTCACCTCCGCTGCTGCTGCCGCTCGCGCGCCATGGCGCGTGAAACAGCTGATTCCCGCGCCGCTACTCGCTTGAGAGCCTGGGAGGGAGGGGCTCTCAAACCTGGGAGGGAGGGGGAGATCCCGAGCGGCCGCGGCGCGCGAAACAGCTGTTTCGCGCGCCGCTGCTCCCTCTCCCCCTCCCTCCCTCCCTCCCAGGCTTGAGAGCCTGGGGGGAGGAGGCAGGGCTGGGGATTTGGGGAAGGGGCGGAGTTGAGGCGGGGCCAGGGGTGGAGTAATTAAAACGGGGGGAGGGGAGGCGGCCAAAATTGTTTTTGCTTTGGGCGGCAAAAATCCTAGAGCCGGCCCTAGAGCCGGCCCAGGGAGAAAAGGGGTCTGAAGAATTCTGGAAACTTAAAAAAATAGTATTAGACAATAATTTTTAAATAAATATATTCAAAATAGAAGAGAGAGGCTTAAAAGTATTTTCTCTTCTCTTTTCTGTCATCCTTCTACTATCAGCTGTTCATTGTAAGCGAACAAGTTAAATAATATTGACCTCAGCAGTTAACTAATATTCATGATCTTCTGGGTTGTTTCTGTTAGAGGGAGTCAGGTATTTGTTTGATGCAATCCTGTTTATTCACAAAGAATGTATAAAGTCCTGTTTTCCTGAATACAGTAGGAATGAAACAGCAGGAGACAGTCCCTTTTCTCACAGTGCCAAGCCTCTTTTCAGCTAGCACTCTACCCAAAAACTCTCTCTCTCAGCTTTTCTCAAGATAATGCTACAAGAGCTTTTCTGGCTGTCTCTGGGGCTTCCTTCCTGCCTCCTTTATGTGCTTCTGGCATGTTTCTGCGCATGCACACACACACACATATATGCAGAACTCCCTCAAACCATAATAAGCCTTCTGCATTTGCGTTCAGTCTCGAAGGAGAACCTCTCCAACCACCTGGCTCAACTCCCACATCAGCCTTGCAGGTGGCCTGTGTTTTGAGCAGTGGCCCCTACTGTTTCAGCTATCGGTTCTACAAAGGAGCTTCATTGCTTCTTACATTTATCCTGAACGAAGGGTGGCTGTTACACTCACAAGCGTCAACAATGTTTCACCCAATCTCAGCACAAAAATATTTTTTTAAATCAGATATTTGGAAGTAGGTAGGGGAATGTAATTAACTTTAAAGAGGTAAAGACCTGCCTTGCAAAACAGCCAAGGTATGTATCAAAGGAGAACTAAAACATACAGGACCACATTTTCATAATAGCTTAGTAACATAACTTGCAAATGCAGATACCACAGATACACCTGCAATTGTAATAACTGGAAGTGAAAATGACCAGTTAAGTGTCTAGATATGTCGAGATACGCAAGTCTGTAGGCGGTTACTGAGTTCTGAATTTTGATTTCTCACTGAATTTAGCAGTTGTGTGTATATGCCTTATTTTTAATTGTGTTCCTGGTCTGAGAGTATTTTCTGTTATTGGATTTTTTGAGAATTGTGTGATTCAATTTGATACTTACAGATTGTTATGTCATTGTCCCACTTGCAGACTGAGAGCAGCAGCTCCTGGAAAATGTGCAAAGAAGTTACAAAGAAGGCAGCACTTGGTTAAGCTGTACTGAAAAGCTTAGTGGATGTGCACTAAAAATCCTCTGAGGTGTTTTCAGTTGCTTATACCTTTTTATTTTTACAGTTTTCCCTCCCAAATCAAGCAGATCTCAGAGAAAAATGAGTTAATGCCAAGTTTAAAATTTCAAACATCAGCTGTTTTTGCTGAAAATAGGAAGCGTGTATTTTTTTTTTCATTTTCATTTAACTCAAAGATGACCTTGAAGGAATTTTGTTCAGACCTTCCAAATACATTCATTTTTGTGTAGAGACTGCCTAAGGAAAGTTTCAGCCCCAAAGACGATTGTTTTGGAAAGTTATTATTGGCATATGGGAATAAGATCTATAACAGAAACTGCTTTACAGTTTTACCTATTGAAGTTACTGTCAGCAGCAACTACGTTTTTTTGTTTGTTTAGAAAAACATTTTCTAGCAAGTAACATTAAATTTAATGAAAAATTGAGAGGGTAGATGAGGCAATATCTGTTATTGGACCAATTTCTGTTGGTGAAAGAGACAAGCATTTGAGCTACACAGAGCTCTTCTTCAGGTCTCAAAATAGAAAATTGAGTTGAACATTGGATGCCTACATGGAGCTTTCAAGATTTGAGATACTCTTAGTTCAGTGTTACTCTTTGGTCTTCTTTCTTTTTCTTCAGGTTTTTCATTCCTCTATTTATCTGTTTTATAGCTTTCTCTTTCTCACATTCCATACCCATTTTTAAGACATTTATCTTTTCCAAAGACCCTGTTTCTCTGTCTATTGCCTCCATTTTTAACTCTAAAATCTCAGTGACAACAAATTCTTTTAGTCTTTTTTCAGTCCTCCCATTTTGAAATGCCATTTTTTTCTAAGTTACATGGAATTTTTCACTCATAGATCTCTGTAGGCAAATAATATTTCTTCTTTGAGTGCTTGCTCATGTCCATTCCATTGTAGATGTGCGCACATCCACGTGCACAGTCGTTGGCGATTTTTGCCTTAGCGGAATCCATAGGGTTGGCTGTGGTGCTGTGCTCATGCACTGGTATATTAGGCACTGCCAACACTAGGCCCTCTCAGTTCCTTCTTGCCAGCAACTCCAACAGAGGGTTAGGAGGGTAGGTAATGGAATGGACACGAGCAACACATCTCAAAGAACAACAGTTACAACAAGGTAGGTAACTGTTTTTTCTTCTTCGAGTGCTTGCTCATGTCGATTCCATTCTAGGTGTGTGCGTGCCCAGGTGTACAGTCAACGGAGATTTTTGCCTTAGCAGTATCCGTAGGGTTGGCTGTGGCACCCCCTTGAGTGCCACGCTCATGCGCTGGTATATTAGGTGCTGCCGACCCTACGCCCTCTCAGTTCCTTCTTACCGCCCATGACCGTTGGTTGGAGCGCCTTGTCTTGCATCGCAAGAGCATTAGTTGTTCTTACAACCCATTGTTCTGTCTCCTTTTTTTTTAATTGATAGGTGCTTAGTTAGACCATTAAGTTAAGGATTAGAGTAGTAGTTTAGGAATTATAGTCCCAGCTGGGACTTTGCCTCGCAGCGGGGCATGCCCCGTTCCCCAGGCTTTAAGCCATGCTCATAGTGCAGCTGGCTGGTGTCCATTAGCGACCCCCACACTAGCTGTTTGAAGTGTTTGGGGGAGTTCCACAGAAAGGACAAGTGCAGGATCTGCAAAAACTTTCACCCTCGAATTCAAAAGGAGCGGGATATCCACTTGAGGGCCTCCTCATGGAGTCTGCGCTTCATCCTGCTTTGCAGCCCTCTCGATCGGACTCCATGCCCGGCACTTAGGCATCGGTGCACAACACACTGCTGACACTGGAATCTGCCTGGCACAGTTTGGGGGCTTTGGACAAAGGACCTGTGTTAGGCCATGTGCCCACCCCGGAGCTACTTGGGGGATACCACTGCGGTCAGACCTCCTAGCCCAGCCAGGGATCCACCTCCGGCTCCCGGGAGCGGCAGGGGGTCCCGGCCCCTAGTAGGGTCATGTGTGCCCAAAGCGGGCCTGGCGGCCAAAGAGGAAGTAGGTCGTCCGGCACCGCAGATGCCAAGCCAAGTGATGGACCCAGCTAAGGCCCTGGCATCTACGGACAAGGCAGTTTTGGGACTACCCTCTAAAAAGTGAAGTGTCCCCAGACCGCAGCCTTGAACCCCAGCACTGCATCTTCGGTCCCCGGTTAGAAGACACCGGTCCCTGACGCCAAAGTCTCCACGTACATGGCATGGGACACCTGAGTCATGACGCCAATCCCCATACCCACAGTACCATCAGGCCTCCCACCAGAGATCGCCATGGCGCAGATCACCATCACCTAGGCGGTCTCCCAGGCGTAGATTCTCGCCTTACTGCCTGTTGCGGGATCATTCCCAGTCACGGCACGGTCTGCAGCTCCCCGGTACTGCTCTTCGGGCAGGCACTGATCCTCACCGGGGTAAGGATCCTCTCCTTACTGGTCGCCGACAAGGGTCAGTCAACAGACGCAGGCATCTACAGCTCCGCCCTGGTCACCGGAAGGGCAATGGTCCAAGTCAGAAGGAGAGTTCAGCACCTCATCTATAAAAGGTGAATTACTACCGGCCCACGAGACCGGTGTGACTCCTGCGGCGGCAGCGCGGAGGCAGGGGCCGTGGCCTGTTCAGTGGCAGTACTGGAACATGTGGGGTGTACCTTTTATGCCGGTCCCATACTCCCACCATTCCTCTCAGGCTGCCTTGACGAGCTGCACCCGGCACAGTCGGTGCATGGTACTGAATCTGACATGGGGGCGACACAGTGGCCCCCGACGCCCAAGGAGCTGTCCCCAGATGAGCAAGGGGAAGCCGCCTCTCCCCCTGCAGTGCAGTCATCTTTGTTGTCTCCGGACAAAGCAGTGACAGGCCCCTCGCAACCGAGCAACCTCCCCCTGACAACTTCAAGGAGCACAAGGCCCTGCTCAAAAGGGTGGCTGCCAACCTGAACTTGGTGATCAAGGAGCTAGTGGAGGAGTCTGACGATCTCTTTAATGTCATACCCTCCTCCACTCCGGCCCAGGTCGTGTTGCCTGTCCACCCAGGGGTCCTAAAAATTGCTAAGTCTATGTGGCAGACCCCTGCTAGGCAGGTACAACTTCAACTTGTGGGACTCCATCAACAAGTTCAAGGAGGGCCTTCCACAAGACCGAGCCCTGGAGTTCGCCACCTTGGTGGAAGAGGGCAAAGTGGTGGCAAGAGGCGCCCTCCAGATGGCCTGGGATGCTACAGACTCGGCAGCCAGGGTAGTCGCCTCTGCGGTGGTCATGAGGTGCAGCTCCTGGTTACAGTCCTCTGAGCTGTCCCAGGAGATGCAGACTACACTCCAAGACCTTCCATTTGAGGGGGCAGGGCTCTTTTCAGAGCTGACCGATGGACGGCTCCAAAGCCTTAAAGACTCCCATGCCACCTTCCATTCCTTGGGCCTAAACACCCCATAGCAGGCTAGAAAGCTGTTCTGTCCCCCACCTCCTCTGTCGAGGTCATGGGGTGTCCCTCAGTCCAGCTCCTAAGAACGAAGGACAGAGACAAAGGATTTAAACAGCGTCACCCTTCATTTTCCTGTTCCTCTGTCCAGCCTGGTTCTTCCAGAGGCCAAGGAAGCCAGAACCAAGCATTTTGAGGATGCGCCCGAGGATGTTGTCCCAGTCACTTCCCAGGATCAATCTCCGTCCCCCGTCCGTCCCCCGTCCCCCCGCTCTCTTTCCTTATCCCTTCTGGTTGGCCTAGTCGTGGCTGACCTTGGACCGTTGGGTGCTCGACATAATATCTTCAGGCTACACTCTGAAGTTCGTGGCTGACCCTCCCTCCCACCTCACTTCTCCTTCCCTCTTCAAGGACCCTTCTCATAAGCAACTACTCATTCAAGAGGTCAAGAACCTCCTACATCCGGGGGCAGTAGAGGAGGTCCCTCCAGACTTGGAAGGGAAAGGGTTCTACTTCTGCTATTTCCTAATCCCCAAAGCAAAAGGGGGCCTCAGATCCAGAATGGACCTGCAACACCTCAACAAATCTCACAAGAAGTTGCAGTTTCGCATGGTTTCTCTGGCCTCCATTATTCCCTCCCTGGATCCGGGACACTGGTACGCTGCCGTTGATTTAAAGGATGTATATTCCAATCTTCCCAGGGCACAGGAGTTTCCTCTGCTTTGTGTTAGACCACCTCCATTTTAAATTCACGGTGCTGCCCTTCGGTCTCTCGTCAGCCCCAAGAGTGTTTACAAAGTGCATAGCGCCAGTGGCCACTTACCTGAGGCATTGAGGGGTGCAAATTTATCCGTACCTCAACGATAAAGGGCAAATCCCAGGATCAGGTGCAGCATCATCTCGATCTGGTTTGCTCCACCTGTCATGACCTGGGACTGTTAATAAATGAGAAAAAATTAATTCCAGTGCAAATTCATAGAGTTCATTGGAATGATCCTTAATTCTAATCAGGCCAGAGCCTTTCTCCCCGAGGCTCAGTTCCAAGCCATGGCGGATCTGATCTCGTGGATTCTAGCCCACCCTCTCACCACCGCTCTCACGTGCCTGCGATTGTTAGGCCACATGGCAGCCAGCACTGACGTGGTCTGGCACTCACGGCTCCACCTCAGGCCCCTGCAGGAATGGCTGGCATCGGTCTACGTACCCAACAGACACAGCATGGGCCGTGTGGTCAGGGTCCTGGACCATGTACTGTCATCACTCATATGGTGGCAGAATCCTGCACCAATGTTGGAGGGAGTTCCTTTCGCGGCTCCATCCCCATCAGTGAACCTCGTCTCTGATGCCTTGAACCTGGGGTGGGGAGCCCATCTGGGCAATCTCAGCATGCAATGTCACTGGTCGAGTCACGATCGCTCCCTACATATCAACGTGAGAGATTTCAGAGCAGTTCGCCTGTCCTGTCAAGCCTTCCTACCTCACATAGAAAGCACAATACAGCAGCTATATTATATCAACAAGCAAGGCAGAGCCACATTGTCTGCCCTTTGCCAAGAAGCCCTCAGGCTCTGGGATTTCTGTGTACAACACAACATTCATCTCATAGCCACACACCGCCCCGGGGCCAGGAACACTTTGGCAGATTGCCTCAGCAGGACCTTCTCATCTCGCCGCGAGTGGTCCCTCCATCTGGAAGTGGTCAGCATCATCTTCCAGCGGTGGGGATCTCCCCGAGTGGACCTGTCCACGTCCAGGCAGAACAGAAAATACTACCTTTTCTGCTCGATTTGGGGGATTGATCGAGGTTCCCTGTCGGACACTTTTCTGCTCCTGTGGTCGGGGGCTCTGTTGTATGCCTTCCCTCCGGTGCTATTAATTCACAAGGTCCTCATGAAGATCAAGCTGGACAGAGCAAAGGTGATCCTCATAGCGCTGGCTTGGCCGCACCAGCACAAGTTCAGCATGCTGCTGGATCTCTTGGTGGCTGCTCCGTTACAGCTACCGCTCAGGCTGGATCTGCTGTCCCTAAACTGTGGCAGAATTATTATTCTGCATCCGAACCTGGTGGCGCTGCATCTGACAGCTTGGCTGCTGCACGGTTAAATGTGGAGGAGCAGGAGTGCCCAGCTGGTGTCCAACAGGTCCTGTTGGGCATCAGAAAGCTCTCCACCAGAGCAACCTACCTGGCCAAATGGAAGCGGTTTGCTTGTTGAACCTTGGATAAAGGCATTTGGCCCTAGCGGGCCTCGCTGCAGTTAATCTTGGACTACCTTCTGTATCTCGAGCTCCAAGGCCTGTCCCAATCATCTGTCAAGGTCCACTTCACCGCTATCTTTGCCTTCCATCTGCCGCTCGAGGGTAGGGTCGGTTTTCACCCAGGACATGACTGCCAGGTTCCTCAAGGGCCTCAAGCACTTCTACCCATATGTCAGGGACCCCGTTCCTCCATGGGACCTGAATCTTTTCTTGTCATGGCTCATGGCACCGCACTTTGAGCCTCTGGCTTCCTGCTCTCTCCTCCTTTCCTGGAAGGACATCTACCTGCCAGGTCTCTGAGATTAGGGCGCTTACTTCGGAACCGCCCTATACGGTCTTTTACAAAGATAAGGTCCAGCTGCGGCCACATCCAGCTTTCCTGCCCAGGTGGTCTGACAGTTTCATACGGGCCAGGACATTTACTTACCTGTCTTTTTTCCAAAGCCACATAAGTCGGAGGAGGAGGAGTTTAAGTTGCATTCCCTAGACGTCAGGAGGGCACTAGCCTTCTACATTGAAAGGACCAAGTCATTCCACAAGTCAACGCAATTGTTCATCTTGGTGGCCAACAGGATGAAAGGTCGTCCAGTGTCCGGTCAAATAATTTCTTTTTGCATCATTTGCTGCTCCTACGATGAGGCAAAGGTGCCTTCTCTGACGATTGTAACTGCCCATACAACCAGGGCACAAGCCTCTTTGTCAGCTTTTCTAGCCCAAGTGCCTATCCAGGACATCTGTAGGGTAGCCACCTGGTCGTCCATCCACACATTCACGTCCTATTATGCACTTACCCAGCAGGCTTGGATAGAGCAGTGCAGCAAGCTGCTAGACTGTGAGCCCACCTCCAAGGATACCGCTTGTGAGTCACCTAGAATGGAATCGATATGAGCAAGCACTCGAAGAAGAAAAAACGGTTACCTACCTTTTTGTAACTGTTATTCTTTGAGATGTGTTGCTCATGTCCATTCCATTACCCGTCCTCCTGCCCCTCTGTCGGAGTTGCTGTCAAGAAGGAACTGAGAGGGCGTAGGGATACTGCTATGGATACCGCTAAGGCAAAAAACTCTGACTGTGTACGTGGGTGCGCACACACCTAGAATAGAATGGACATAAGCAACACATCTCGAAGAACAACAGTTACGAGAAGGTAGGTAACCGTTTTTTCCTCGCACTAAAACAACCAATTTTCACAAAGAGGGAATTGTAATAATAAATATGGATTTGTGAGATACAAAACAGCTAGGCTTGGAAGGCCCGATCCAAAGCCCTGTAAAGTCAGTGATTTCAATGAGCTTTGGGTCAGGAACAAAAGAACAAACATTAGTTATGGTTCCCATAAAATTTGTATCATTTGAGATTTGCTTTTTTCCCCTTTTTGAAAAATCTGAGCAAGGAATGGTCTCTCTCTGAAAAGATTTCATTTTTTTAAATTACCTAAATATTATTGATATAATTTTTAAATAAAAGGAACACTTCCTCTGTAGAACATCTACATTTTATGTTCAAGTTCTAAAGGAAATGTTTTGAAATCATCCCCAGCAGACTATCTGGCTTTTTCACCATTGAGTTTCTAAATCTAACACTTTTGTCAGAGGGTACTGTCTGAATTAATGTCTTCTTATCACCTCTTCCTTCGACATCAGTTTGGTTAACTTTGCTATATCCTTGTGATATGCACGTTCTGATATCAACAGTAGGTATATTTTGTAAAACAAATTCTGAGTGAATTAAAAAAATATATAAATAATATATGAACACAGGAAACCTAAATAGGTATTTTGATGCCTGAGTGCAAGTTTCGGTGCTTAACTTTAGATGTCTAAGTAAGCTTGAAAATAGACTTCAGATTGTATAAATAAATTATTATTATGAAATGACTGTTTCAACAGAGGAAGCTGCAAAATCTCGACTACAGCTGATAAAGACAAAGGTATTAACATTTGTTGAAGAACTAGTCATGAAAGCGGAAGAAACTTACAAATATATGGAAAAGTGGCTTGGCGCCAGGTTCCTTGCAGAAATGTCCAGGTAATATATGGCTAATTTTTAAATAGACCAGGTATTTTAGTAGAATAGAAAAGTTATTGTTCAGACAGGTGACCTAATCAAATAATTTGTAAAAATGTACAAAAATTAATCATTTTGTTTGCTAATTTTACTCTCCGGATTTGGGACTTGATCTTGCCTTATGATATATGCCTTAGTGCTGCATACATTGGAAAGTTAAAAAGTGTAGTCAGCAATATTGTACACAACTGTTCAGTCTTATTTTTTTCTTAGGAAATACAGTTACAGTTATGAGCACTAGTAGAGAACCTGAAATTTTGTTCATAGGAAGCAACAATATCAAGTAGTGGCTCCTGCCACCTTGGAATTTTGGGATCTTGTTTGCTGTGCTTCTGCCATTCCAGAATCCTCCACCTTTTGTTAAACCCACTGTGTATAGCAGTTGACAGAAGTTATTTTAAAGATCATAAGAACATGAGGGCCTGCTTTGTGACACAAATTAGTCTCCAGTGCCCAAGAAGTGTGTAGATTTGGGCCTAATCATGACTCCCTGACTTTCATGTAGAGGGGATCTTCTGTGTGCAGGTCAGACTCTTCCCACTGTAATATCCAAGTACTTATGCCTCCACAGCAGTATTACTCCTTTCCCTGCAGAATGTGCTCCATAGATCCAGCAGTCCATGCAGGGGCACATGACAGGGCGACAGGCTGAAGTAGGTGGACAGGGTGAGGTCAGGCAAATACACATCACCTCTTTTGCCCTATGGAGTTCTGAAAATCTCAACCTGTACTATCTTTCCATCGGGTTTTCTCTATGGCTGGGATTCCACTTTAAATGGACTTCCCTCAGCAGTCACAAATAGAGCATGCTGCCAGGATGTAGTGAGAAATAACTAGCTTGGTCATAGAGCCGCATGTTGACCCCCCTTCCCATGATCCACACAGAGGATTTGTGGTCCTTAACAGAGAAAATCTCCCATTGATGAAATATTTCAGAATTTGACTCAAAGTTACTACTATCTTACATTTTAAAGTAATAATTGCTTCCTGCATTTCAATTTTTAGTGTTGACAAATTAACTGAGATTGCACGCCACCACGTTGAATGTTCTACGAGAATCCAATATGAATTGGTTTTAGATGAGACAGACTTCTTCATAAGCAATGATGTAAAAGTAATTCCAGATCCTATCCCTCCACCACGGCCTCCACCTGTAGAGACATCTGTAAATGGTACCCTAACTATTTCACAACTTAGCACACTCCATAAGCAATTTCTACAGGTGGCACCTAAAGGTAGGAAAAAATATTCTTACACATTCATAAGAGAATTAGTTACCTAAGCAAGATTTAAAATAACTGTTAGGAGCTACTAAACCATTTTTGATACTTAGCCAACAGCATTACGTACACTAATTTATGCTAGTAAGTAGAGATGCTACTACTGTTATTAAGAGCAAAGTCAGAATGCTGGTATCCAGCATTTAAGTGATCTGTAAGAGTCTTTGATCTGAGTTCCTCTATACTCAAATCTAAAGTAACTCTTTGGAACTATCAATATGCTGTGTGTGCTTTTAAAAGTGGTGTCCATCTTGCTTAACTCAGAAATTCTTAAAATTCATAAGGTAAGAATCATTTTCAAATACAAGTTTTTAATTAAATGAATACTTTTGAGTTCAGTGCAGATGGCAGCCATGTTATTAAAAACGACATCATTTATGACATTGGTGCCTTTTTAGCCAAAAGGCAACAAAGCATTGGTTGAAATATCTTGAGCTTGCAACACCTCTAGAATGCCTCTTGTCAATATACAGCAACCATTCCATTAATTTACAAGTAGTAGGTCAGATATGTTTCTTTTTTTCCTGCAACACTTGGAGATGAAGCTTTTAGCTCCGTTGTGGTTCAGTTACTAGATTCAACAATAGTTTATCCCGCAAACAGCTTAACTGTAGAGCCAACCAACAATTTCATGCAATCAGTGACCCTACAGCAGTCTCTTTACTTAATATAAACACATCTTCGAAATGTGGGAACTCTGGGTAAAAGATTTTAAACTAGTTTCCAGCATGATCTAATACTGGTTTTAGAATTATGCAAAATAATTTGTGTTTAAAAATTAAACCTTTTATTTAAATATATATTTTTCCCAGTTAGTTACATCAATATGAAATGAAATGGAAAATAGTTCACAATCATTTACACAAGGATTCATTACTGACAGTGTCACAAATTATCATCTTTTGTAACAAATGACCGCTACCACCGGTCCGGAGTGCTGGAACAATTTGTATACTGGGGGTGCTGAGAGCTATTGAACCAAACTGTAAACTCTATGTGATAGGAACCACTTCAAACTAGGGGGTACAGCAGAACCCCCAGCACCCTTAGTTCCAGCACCTGTGCTGCCAGTACAGTCAGAAATATCTTGTGTAGTTAAACATCATAATCAAATCCACCCAGTGTAATGCATTAAAGCTCACGAAGGCCCACTAAAGATGAATTTAGTCCTTTAGGTTGAAATACATTTCACTGTATATTTACGGAGAAAAAGTGAGCTCACCTTTTGAACTTGAAAACTTTTGGCTGAGAAACATGTTTACAGTTTTCCTTTAAAGAGATGTCTATCTTTCTGTCTTGTGAATGTGAGAGAGAGCATTCCAAACTGCTCTGCAGCAAATAAAATAACAGATAGTATAATGCATATAACTAATTATAAGAAGCAGGGAATATCTTATATTTGCATTCATTCATAGAGTTCCATAGGAGTAAAGCAGACTTCACAGACATCAAACATGGCTGGTCACGCCCTCAAGGAGCTTTTGTTTTAGATTTATTTACTAGATATATAAGACTATAAAATATGTCTAACACAGACTTTAACACCCTTGACATTTCTATATAGTTAAATGCAGCAATAATTTCCATCATATATTGATGACAACCAGTTAAATCTTGTAGCAAAAAAAAAAATGTAGACTATCTCACCTTCCTCCAATGTTTCCCCTTAAATAGCATCCCCCTCCAGTAAAAGAAAGGTTAACAGACTCAAGCTATTCTGGACCAAGTGGGGAGCAAGTTCCAAAGTCAAGGGGCCCTCATTGAGAATGCCCTACCAGCAGTCCCCTCTCTTTTAAAGCCAAAGGGACACCAGTTCAAGAGCCTCCACTGATCTCTGCAATGACAGTATAACACAGGAATAGAGCTGATCTCTGAAGTAGGCAGGTCGCGGCCATATGGGCTTTGTTGTTGTTGTTTTATGTTATTGGTATTATGATAATGATAATGCTAGTGGCCAGGAACCCACAGGATCAAAAATAACTCGTTAAACTCTACCTAGAAACCTACAGGTACCCAGTGAAGATAACAAGTATTGGTGTAATGTCCTGATAGATATATATCTTCCTTAACAAATGGGCTGCTGCATTCTGCACTTTGTTCAGCATTTGAATGGATTTAAGATGTAGCCCCACGAAGAGCACATTGCAGTAATTTATTTCTGTAGTGACAAAGGCATGACTCATGGTAATAACATACATATCTTCCCCCTCCCCTGCCTCCCAAAATAAATCAATAAATCTCAACCTCCTGGCCAGACACAAATCAAAGAGTACAGTCTGGTTCCTGTTGAAATGTGATCATCCTACAGTAATTAGGAATCTAACTAGATACTCCATTTGCAATTGTGAGTGAGAAGTGAGAGACAGACACCTTAATCAGAGAAGCAGATATAATCCTCACCATATCTTCCGATTGGTTTCCCCAGCCAATCAACACATCTAGATTGAGCTTTAGCGAGCTCACTTTCAATACAGCCAAACACTGGAAAAGGTACTTTACTGTACTATCTGGGGCAGAAGGAACAGAAATAATAGATTGGAATCATCTGTCTGTTGAAAGCAATGCAGCTCGTGCTATCTCACTCACCCTCCTAAAAATCCTATATAAATGTTGAACAAGAAGGAACCCTGCAGTTAGCACTTTCATGGAGAAATGGCAATTGCCAAACATTACTTTCTGGGAACTTTGAGAAAAAGATTGAGGACAACCCTGTCCCTTCCCCTATGGTCCATATATATGGCCCATAGCAACTTTATATCTAAAGATAGCAGCATGCACAGCCTTTATTCACTGATAGGATGAAGTCGTCAATCAATGCGATCAACATAATCTCTGTCCCGTAACCTAGTCGGTACCCCAGTTGAGAAGAATCAAGGAAATCTGAGCTATTTAGGTAATTTTAACCATGAAGAGAAGATTAGGTACAGGACTATAGTTAACCAGATAAATCAACATCAATTTTTGGCATCTTGAACAAAAACCTTATCAATTGTTTTTTAAGAAAGCCGGCAGCATATTCTTAAGAGAGGTACTGACAGTCTGCATTATCACTGGATTCAGAACCTCCCCAGTTTTCAGGAAGGACATGAATCCAGAACTGAGGTTGATCCCCCTCCAGTACTTCACAGAGCACCACTGGCTGAAACAGATGGCAGCATTTGTCCCCCAAACAGTTGCCCTGCTTTCACAGAAGCAGACAGTTTGGTCAGAATCAAAGTGTCTCCACAAAGTAAAAGGGAGTTTCCTCACAAACCAAACTAAAGTCATCCTCTAAGTGGAGTCAGTTGGATTGTCCAAGTTATCAGTCATCTGAAAAAAGTCTGTGGAACAAGATTTTGGGGATGGGATGGTAGAAGAAAAAATCTTTTTCTTTGTCTCCTGCACAGCCACAGTATAACAGCTTTAAAAACCCCACTGAAAACAATAATAGAGTAGTCTGTTGGAAGAACAGTCCTCTCCTTCAGAGTGCTCTTGTTCCATCAAGAGCAGACCATCAAAACAGTTCCCATGCCCTAATGAAAAAAGTATGCTGCAATCTTTTATTTCTGCAGGAGGTATTGGTCCAAAGACATAGGTAATATATCCAGCCAACCCACCTCCAATCCTTATCCAAACACTAGCTCAAGATTGTGGTCAGCCATGGCTCTCATGGAGGCCTGAATTTATTCAGATGAATAATCATCAGAATAGATGTTTAAATGGCTGATCATGAACAGTCCAGGCGAATCTAACACTACAACAGCAGGGACTCAGATAGGAACACTGGTGTGATCTGTATGCCAAGATTAGTACCATCTTTTATCTGGGCTGTCGCACATAAGATGGACATATTGTATTCAATCCATTTTTGGTGAAAGACCTATGCAGTAGATTGGATACAAACAGCACAGACTCGCCACCTCCTCAGCAATCCTCTTCAGTTCCTACTGTACAAAACAGCCAAATGAGACCAACTGCACCAATACAGGTCCAGCAGTATTGTCCAGCCAGGTTTTGGTAATGTGCAAAGTTGGGAACCTCATTCTTACTTACATCATGGATGGTGGAAACTTTATTGACCAAATAAGCTAACGCACATCAGCGTGAGCCAATGACTTCAGTTCTTGTCTGCTGATATGCCATTCACCAGAGAGATGACAACATTGGGATCAAAACTATTTGGTCTTAGTTTATATCCATATTAGTAGTAGTATTTGTAGTATGATAATGTCCTCTAAGCACTAAACACATATGAGTATAAAAATAGATTATCCCTATCCCAAAAAGCTTACGTTCAATGTATATGGCAAGAAACAACAGGTGGATAAAACCAACAGACAAGGGAGGATAATATGACAATAAGACAGTTATGATTTGTATAATACAGAGTGATCACAGCACTCTTCTTTAATTTCTCCCTCTCCTGTCTCTTCTTGTCTTTTAGCACAAGAATCTAGGCTCCCTAGTCATTGAGGCCAATCACACTCATCCAGGCCACCAACAACCCCTAAACTTTTAGAGCTCTCATTGTCCCAACCAAATAATAATAATAAAGAATAATAATTATAGTGCCTAATCCTTCAATCCTAACTCATGTGAGTAGTCCTCAGATTACTTGTGATACTAAAGTCACCAGACTACTTATGAGTATGGGCTATAGGATTAGGCATTAATATAGATACTTACAGATATATAGTACCTACAAATATTAATCCTAATACCTCTATGACATATGTACTATTCCCCACCATTAGAGCGGTTAAGTGGCAAGGCCGCACATTTGGATAAAATTAAAAGAACAAGTCTTCTATAGCAGCAGTTCTCAAACTGTGGGTCGGAAACCCAAAGTGGGTTGTGGCCCCATTTTAATGGGGTTGCCAGGGCTGGCTTAGACTTGCTGTGGCCAGGGGCCGAAGCCAAAGCCTAAGCCCCACTGTCTGGGGCCGAAGCCTGAGGGGTTCAGCTTTGGGCAGTGG